GGGACATGTGGCTGAAGGGGAGCGGGACCGGGAGTCCTCTAGGGCTGAGGGGAGCTGAGCTACGCCGCTGGGATCCTCTGTGCTGGGGAGGGACGGTCCGGCATGCCCTGGCGGGGTTGGCATGGGATGGGGTCTCTTGTTATACTGGGGGGAGTGGCGTGACTGGCTGCCTGTTACTGGGATGACTGGGGTGCCCTGTATGGGGGTGCTGCTGTGAGTGGCCGCGCTGGTACTGGCGGGGAGGTCGATGTGAATGGACCTCTTTTTGGGGGGGGGGGAGATGACCAGAAACCCTTGTTCACCGGGAGGTCTGGTGTGGGTGGGCATCCTGCTACTGAGGGTTACTGAGATGTTTCGAGATCCTTCTTACTGGAGGGGTCGGGAGGACTGGGATGACCCCTGTTATGTGGGGAGGGTGCTGTGAATGTGCCCCTGTTATTTGGGGGGATGTTATTTGGGATGACCAAAGCTCCCTGTTATCTGGAGATGTGACTGGTCCCCTGTTATCTGGTAGGAATTTGGATGATCAGAGCCTGTCTTTTTTGGAAATGTCTGGTGTTGCTGGGCACCCTGTTTCTGGGGGGACTATGACCAATGTATGGGGGGCTGGCATGAGTGCCCCCTGTTATTTGGGGGGTACCCTTATCACGCCTGTCACCCCAGAGCTGTGGGGTGGGGGACTGACCAGTCCCCCTTGGGAGCAGGGTGATGCCTGCCCTGCCTTGCTTGAAGGGTTGCCCAGACTTAGCCCATCCCAGGCTGTTTTTGGTTAAAAGCCTTTTTAACAAGCTTAATTTTCTGGCACTTCCCTGCAGAAAGTTATTCCCAGCATTTAATTGACACCTTCGCTGCAGGCTGGGCTGTTTCGCTGTTGCTCCATCTATTTCACTTTATAAACTGCTGGGGTGTGGGAAAGTTGTTTGCTCCTGTTGGAGTTTCTTCGAAGAGTGAAATTACTCACCTAGGGAGTGTGCTTGTCAAAGGAAATAATGGCAACCCCCTGGTTTTGGGAATATTGAGGCTGGAGGGGGTGAAGGTGCCTGGATGATGGTGTTGGGAGTTAGTCATCAGCGTGGAATTGGTTCTTGGGGAGTTGTCTTAGTTGCTGGAGTAAGCACTGCTGGTACAGCTTGGAGTGTGCTTTATTGTGCCAGTGCTTAAACCTTTTGGAGTGTGAAAGGAAATGGGAATGCTTAGTGGAATGTGTACAGAGAAGAGGGGTCACTGAGGCTCTCTGATGTGAGTCTGGAAAAGTGAAATGAGTTTGTGCTTTTACAGCTCTTTTTAAAAAGCAGAAACATATATCCGGCTGAGAAGCTGGAAAGTGCAAGGAAGAAGAGTCGGGTCTCTGTTTCCGAGCTGTGGAAGTGAACCAGTGATAGCGTTGGTGGGGACATCCCCTCCACAACAGAGCTCTACACTTTGTGTGGGCTGTCATGAGGAGCTGTGGGGTTTCATAATTTTTTTTGCTTAGTGGGGTGCACTGATGCACACATCCCTTTTGCTAGATAGGAGAGAATGGGCTTTCTTCCAATATTTCTGTAATTCTTTGAGAAATCCCGAGGAGCTGTTGCACACACGCACAAAGCAGCTCTCTGATTAATCTGCTGCAAATGAGGAAATTGGTGTTTTGTCTGGGAGGGCTGATGAGCCAGACCCTTCCTGGAAAACCCAGCATTGTCTCAGTACAGGTTCTTCTTGGGCTGGTTGACAGCACTGAAGCAGGGTGTGGAGTGTGTCTTAGTTTTGCACGTGGATATGAGGGTGCACGAGAACTGTATTTGCAAAACACAGAGCAGGGGGGACACAGCTACAGAAAGAAACACCAGTTGAGTGCTTTCTTTTAATCTTCCAGTGTGAAAGTCTTGGAGAGTGAGGTGAAGAGTGGGCAGGAAGGAGGGCGTAGTATCACAAATCTGGCTTAACCCCCTGTTAATTAGTCCTGCTCTAATTGTGTCAGAGAAGAACCTCTTGCTTGTCATCACTTTGCAGTTGCCTCCTGTTCAGTCAGTAATTTCTGGGTTTGTGCCTCCTGGACAGCCAAGTGCCTTCTGCAACTTCTCTTTTGTTTCTTGCAGAGCAGCTGGAGGAGCTCAACAGGGCTGTACAACCAAAACTTTGAGCTGTCTCAAGGAAGACTTTCCCTGCTGCTCACCACCCTCCGTGCTGGAGCTCACAGCCCCCACCAGCTCTTGTTTGCAGACCCATAAGTGCAAGGTAACCCCTTTCTTTTGGGTGTCACAGGTTGTGGAGCATCTCTGGGTGCAGTTGGGTTTGGGGAGGGTGGCTGGCAGTGGGTGCTGGGAGTGATGGTTTCTTTACCTGCAGCAAAAGCAAAGTGTGAAACTGACTGAAATCCCGTTTGGTCTTTTCTCTCTCCTTTGCTGTTGTGATACAGCAAAGTTTGTGTTTGCTCAGTTCTGAAGGACTGGGGAAAAGGCTTCCCTGCTCAGGTCTGTACTCTTGCCATCTCCTCCCCTGATATAAAAAACCACCTGCAGTTACCTCTGTGGCCACTGAACTTTGTTCTGTTTCCTGACATCAACTTTCCTGCCTCTAAAACACAATTCGTAGAAGTTGCATAATTTGCTTTCCCAATGTGATCATTTGATCCCAGTGATGAGATTACTTTGTACACATTATTGTAGAGAGTGAGTCACTAGCCCTGCATTGACAGGTGCATCTCTGCCAAGATTGCTTTTTTTATAGGCTTTGAAATTTCATAGGTCAGAACAAAAAATTACAGGCTGCTCATAATCTCTTGCTGTTTATCCCTGAGTAATCGTTCAAAGTTAATTGCATGCTGCTATCACCCATGGAATCAAGAAAGACCAGAAGCCGTCTCTGGTGGCTTCTGGAGGGCCACAAGTCCAAAGAGTGGCTGAGTTTGACCCACGGTGGCAGATTATTGTAGTATTTTTGCTTAGTAATCAGCCATGTCCATGCCTCCAGTCACTCCTTTGTAAGGAATGGAGGTATTGATTTATTTACCTTCTTTTCTTGCTGTGTGGACTAGGTGACGGTGAGGTTTGGAGTTAGACATGGGGTTGGATTTTTTTCCTTGGTAAAATCTGGCTCTGGCAGTGCATGGGAAGTCTGCTGGAAAGGTTTAGCAACCAGCCTGGGGAGTTGGTAGGTCTGGCTTTTTGGTGCTGGCAAGTAAGCGTGGTTGTTTGTGAAACACATCAACTGACTCTCTTTCACGGGTCATTGCTGCATCTCCTCTCTAACTCCAAGCTTTGGAAGAGCAAGTTGATAAAATGCCTGCAAGGATTGTGCAAGTCCTGGTTGTGTAACAGGATTCAATGCATAACTGCTGGAGGTGAGAGGAGCAGCTCCTGTTACGAAGGAACAAAAAACCCCTGCGTCAAGCATCCTCTCTTTGTGTTGATTTTGCTGGGGTGTTGGAGAGCTGTGGCTTTTGCACCTTGGGAGCAGCCTTTCAGCCTGTGACCCCTGAGTTGCGCGATGTCTTGTGGCCTGTGTCGTGTTTTGGGTATGGAATTGATGTTCTGAGGTCTGCTGTGGCTGTGTGTGATTGCAAGGGGCCGGGCTGGGAAGTGGTCTGTACTTCCCAAATCATTTCAAAAAGGTGAAGTCCAGGTCAGATTGCTGACCCATGGCAGGCAGGGAGGTTTTGTAGGGTGATTGCACACCCTCCTGATAGGGCAGCCAGAGCAGGACAGCTCTGCTGCTGAGGTTCCAAGAATCATGCAGTAACACCTCCATTCCCTACAGCAATGTAAGAGATGGGCTTGTAATGTCTGAAAAGCTCTTGCATTCTCAGAGGAAACTGGGCTTATAAATATAAAATGTCCTGGCTCCTTACAAGCATTGCTTAGTTCTCTTGAAATAAGTAAATAAATCCTCAAAACACACTGTTCTGATCAAAAGTCTTGACAATTCCAAAAACTTTGCGAGATCTGTTTAACCCTGTCCCTCTGGTGCTCTGGCAGCTGTTGCTTTCAAGGGAAACCTCTAGACCAGCACTGTGAGGTTTTGCTGTTCAAACTTTTTGTGGTGGAAGAAGTCAGTCTCTGGCTACTGACCCTATCCATAGGGCTCTTTTCCCAGTGGTGGCTGAAAGCAAAACCACAGCTTGTCACACCAGCCCACCCCAAACTCAGGCACAGGGTGAGCAAACAGCCTGTGGGGAGGAGAGGAATTTCCAGCTGTGGCTGTGGCAGCACAGGGTACACCACTCACAGAAGAGGCTGCTGAAAAAACGTCATTTTCCCTGTTGATCTTAGAAAAACATCTTCAGCTGGACCTGAACCATTCCAAGCCCATGCCTCAATGGGTTACTCCTGAGGTTTTGCAGTTGTTTGCCTGAGAGGTACCCATGGAGTTGGCAATAAATAGAGTGGTTTAAAATTCTTGCAGACTTGTCCCTGCTCCTGAATATTGGTGCTGGCCCCCTGTTCCTCTTCCAAGCAATTCCTGAAGCATGGTGTTCTGGATTTGTCCCCCTCTGGGAGGGGAGGCTGGAGAACAGTGTTGGTTCACATGGGGTCAGTTACCTGCCATTCTCAGGTTTTGTTTATCCTGTAACCCTGAACTCCTGTTTTTCTGTGCTGGCTCACATTAATCTGCGAAGGAAGGTGTCCAAATGCATAAGTTGGGGAGATCCCCTTTGCTTAAAGATTCAGAGTCAGGCTTTTGTCTGGTGAAAGGAAGTGTTCAGTAATTCTAGCTTGCTTTAAGGCAGCTTGGCAAGTTTGAATTAATTTTTGTGTTGGATAATGCCCTAAATCCTTTGGTTCAGTGTGCTGGGCTCACTGCACAGCCCCACCTGAGCATACCCATAGCATGGATTTCCTTTCTGCCTCAGTTCTTGTTCTCTTCCTTGCGTTTGCAGCTGCTCTGCTGTCCTTGAATAAGACCCAGGGGCCAGAAATCATGCAAGTGTGACACAGTGGAAGCTCAAATATGCAGTATTTCAAGATCCAGACTGACTGATGCACACTCTGTGTCTGTCCTGTGCCTAAAATAGAGGTTTTGCTGATGTCTGAACCGGTGTGTCAGGGTAAAAGAGACTTTCCACCGTGAAAGTAACTTTTGTTTCACAAAAGAAAAAACAACAGCTTTTGTGTTCCTTTCCCTGCTTCAGGTGCTGCTGCAGCCAACTCCTCAGTTTGGATTGGGATTTCTGAGCTGGTGGAAATGTGCAGAAGCACTTCCCTGTTTTTTTGTGAGGCTTTCTACCCTTCTACTTCCTTTCTACTTTCTACCCTTCTTTATTGAGCTGTTTAATGGGAAGCTGTGGGAAATATGTGGGAAGAAAGTGACAGGGAAGCTCTAGGAGTAGCAATCCTTCACACCAGGATGTGTGGTCCAAGGGAGGCTGAAGGGGCAAGGAAAACTGTGATGTTTCTCACTGTGCCTTCCTTCCCCAGGAGCCCAGGGGCTCACCTGTGTGATGATTCCTACCCAAAGCAGGGAGCCTGTGCAGACCAGGCCACCTGTCTGATCTGATCTGGCCAGATCAGCATCCTCTTGTTGATAGGAAATGCAATCTCCATGTGGCACAGATGTGAAGAAAAAGCTGATCCAAGGCAGTTGTTAAATAACCTGGATCCGAGTGCCTGCTTCCTGCTTTTTTGTTTTGGAAAGCCTGACTTTTCCTGCCAGGTCTCCTTTTACTAAAAAGGAAAGTAAAAGGAGCTCATTTCAGGCTGGTACAGGCTGATGTAAACAGATTTTCTTAGTCTAATTGGTTGCATTTCAAGGAGGAATAAGAGAAGATCTGGCTTTGCCCTGAGGGTATCACACAGTAACATGCAGGAAGTCTTGGCTGCAGTGGGTTTCAGAGGAGACAGGCACAGGAGCCTGGGCAGGAATGCCACCTCCACCACAGCCCTGCTCTCTCTGCTGCTGTTGCCTCTCCTCCTTCCTCCTGTGTCTGTGGGGCTCCTCTTCCTGACAGCCATCAGTAACCTGCCTGATGTCATTAGTGGGTGAAAGAAGAAAGCCCTTAGCTGGTCACAAGACTGCATTCCTGTTTGTGGGCAAGTCTCTTCCTTCTCCTGCACTGCTGCTGTGAGGAGTGATGGGGTCTCAGTGCAACTTCCTTTTGGTGCTGCCAGCTCTGTGAGCTCTCTACAAACTTTGTGGACCTGTGAGAGAGCTGTCCAGTAGTTTTTTCCTCCCAGATGTTTCAGTTGTTTAATTTCTATTTATGGTCTCCCTGTTTTGCCATTGTGTCTAAAGCTCAGGCTGCAGATCAGTGCTGTACAAGGAATTGGAGTTTTCACTTGGTTGTTTATCGTTTATGTGTCTGTTCTGAGGTTGAATTTTGGGGTTGTGCCCTGATGCTGGTGGAAAAAATTAGTCTCTGATTTAAAACTGGGCTTTTTGAAGGCTTCTTCTCAAGGCTGATTGTGCTCCTAATCTGTGTTGTGTCACAGTCATCACAAGAGAAAGGAGCAGACAAGGTGGGGAGGGAAGCCTGGTCACACACACCTGCTCTGCCTCGGGAATTCAGGATGGTCCTTCCTGGCCAGAAAGAGGGGTCTGGTGGCAATGGTGACATCCCCAGCCACACAGTGCTCCCAACACTGGAAATTGTGACAGCTGCACTTCCTCTCTGCTCCCTAACACGATGCCTGTGCTGAGTCAGGGACATGAGGGTCATTGTCACGTGGCTGCAGGGAGCACGAGTGCTCTCTCTACCAGCGGTGCCCCCTTGTCCCCTGCCCCGTGTGGCTGTGCAGGGCTTTCACTGGGAGTCTGGAACTGGAGAAGGTCGGTCTGAAGGAGCTTTTCGAGTGTGTGTTGCTGTTCTATTTGCTGTTAGACTCGCATGGGTTCCTGTTTATGAGAATCTGAGAGGCAGTCCTTTGGTAAGTGCTGCTGGATGGGTTGGGTGGGCTGGTGGAGAGGGAATGGGTGCTCCAGAGCTTGAGCTGGCACCATGATGGTGTTGTGAGAAACGAGGGGGTCTCGTTGCTGCAGGGGGTGGTTTGGCTCCAAACCACTGCTTGCTGTCCCTGCTGGTGTTCAGCTGAGACAGCCTGGACCTTGCTGTGGGCTGGGAAGGCTTCTCTGCCTGCACCCTGCTGAGCTCCCTTTGAATGGAGCCTGGCACCGGTGCCAGCGTGGGGCAGAGGGTGACTGGTGGCGCTGCACGTTTGTCACGCAATTCCTCTTTGACTCCAGCACCGCCAATCCTTTTCCTGCTCATATTGCAGAGCAGAGGTTCCACCTGCAGCTCCTGTGCTTATCTGCAGATATCCAAAGGGTGCTGATGCCTGGGAGAACTCTGGGTGCTTTAATAGCTCAGGGGCAGTTCTGGGGGTGCAGCTCCTGTGGCAGGGCAGGCAGTGTCTGCAGGGTGTGTGGGGATTGTGGGGATCCCTATCTGCTGTGTTGGGCTGCAATCAGGGGCTCCTTGGTGCTGCAGCTGGTGCTGGGGATCGATTATCAGAGGTGGGAGCAGTGAGCAGCCCTGGGCTGTGCTTGCTCAGCAGTTTTCCTTCTCCTTCCCCTCTCGGTGAGGCTGACACTGCATGTCAGGGTGTGCTGATGGTGGCACAGGGCAGAGTCAAGCAGAGAACTTGTTCACTCATTTTTGGGGCAAGAGTCGCAGGCTGCAGTCCTGGTCTGGGACTGGGAAGTCCAACTTGAAGGTACTTGAAACTCATCACAGATATTACATTAAAAAAAAGGCTGTTTCAATCTCAAGAGAGAGAAATTCCTGCCCAGGTTGCCAATTTAGCTTCAGAGCCAAGACTTTTGGTCACTTGGAGATCCTACAATGTGACTTCCAGAAGGGGAAACCTCCCAGCCACGTTTTGTGATTGTGGTGCTGTGTCCCAGGGTGCTTTTGAGGGCATCTGATTGATGCACCATCTCCTGATGCAGGGAAGGAGAATAAGTAAGGAGATAAGAATCTTCAGGTTGCTGACCACTTCCCTTCATCACTCCTGTCTTGTTTGGTATAATACATAATAATATGTTTCTATACATTTTTAAGTATTTTTGACCCTGTGACCTTATAGCACCTTTAGTCTGTATGGAAATCATGGGGGATTTGAGGATGCCTGGCACTGAGAGTGCTTCCAGTCCTTTTTTTTTTCCAAGTGTGCATGAGGAATACATTTCATTTAATATGAGGATGAGGTACATCTGTTTGCTAGCACAGAGATGAGCAGAGAAGGTCCCTGATGATTTAAATTATTGTGAGCTGCCATGTATCAAGCAAATTCACACATTCAGGGGCTGAGAAGCTGTGCTAAAACACAGCATTGCTTGACTGCAATCTTTCAAAATGTTGTGACTTTTCTGTTCTTGCTGAGACTGATGGCTCTGCTGTGTGCACAAACAGGGTTCAGGAATTAGAGGCACAATTAAAAAAAGCCCCAGGAATATGGACATCTTGCCTTACCTTGAGGGACTGCAGGATTCCCAGGACAGCTACATTTCAAGTAAGAGTCAAGTTTCTTTTCACTGGAAGTTAGTAAAGGACATGTATTTGAAAATGAGTTGCTGTGAACTTCTTGAAAATAATTGTTACAGCCAGCTAGGTGAGACTGAGATAAATTGAGGAATAATCTTCCTGTGCTGAGTGAAGCAAGTTTGATAGTTCCCAAGTTATGACAACCCTTTAAAAAAGAGAAATGAGGCCTAATTTCACATCCTTTGCCTTTCTCTTGCTATGTCTAACCAAACTTCTTCCTGAGGGTAGGGGTGTGAAGGGAGAGCAAAAAGAAGAATCCGTAGCTGGGATATAAAGCTTGAATAACCAAATATCCAGGACCAGAGGGAGCCCAGCATCAAAAATTAAAGCAGCTCTTGTGCCTTGTTCCATCACCAGGCTGTGATTCCTCCCAGGGTTAGAGGTCAGTGTGGAAACAGATTGTAACAGTGCTGTGGAGATTGTGAATGAAGAGAGGAGATCAAACCAGGCTCTCCTCCACGCACCAGAGCCACGAACCTCCTGGAATGTTCCCCTCCCTGGCTGTGGGCAGTGAGTGGGTGGCCTGGCTGCAGCTTCCCCTTTGAAGCCCTGGAGAGCTGCAGTGTGGTCAAGGCAAGGAGATAGCACAACTTCCACCCCCACATCCACCCAGGCAGCATTCCTGGGAGCTGCCTCCTTGGGGATGCCTCTTTCCAAGGCAGCACTGCTTGGGAAAGCAGGACACCTCTGGAGGCTTGAGAAAGCCAGACCCCTCTGCTCTGGGAGCTGAAGCTCTGCTGCTTTGAGCACAGTGATGAATTTTGGCTAGAGACAAAGCCCTCACCTGGCTGAGGAGAGCACAGGCTGCTTCTTGCCCTCATTCTTTGCCCACACAGGGCAGCTCATGAATATCCATGTTTGAGCTCTCTGGAGCTGGGAATTGCTGCTCACCACAGGCGTGTCTGCTTTGGAGCTGTCCACGTGCACTTGGTGACAAGGGAGGCTGCTGTCCCCTGGGCAGGGAGCCTTTCCCAGGGCTCAGCTGCTGCTGGGTTTGGTGCTCAGAAGAGAAAGAGCTGCAGCTCCTGCCCAAAACCAGCTCAGCGTGGTCTCCATCAGCCTTGATTTTATTCATGGCTTCCTCTGAGCAAAGGTTTGTCATTGCCTTATGTGCCTTGAGATTTTCAGGGAAAGTGAGTGAAAGACAAGCTGTTATGAGGATAATTTTATTGACATGTCCATCACTGCCCTGTATGAGGGGGAATTGTCCATCCTTGTGTAATCTGGGCAACGAAACTGCTACAGAAAAAACCAACCCACCTTGCAGAGTTGGAGATATTTACTCCTGCCTGTGTCTGAGCACTGATTCCTCCATCTCTTTGCAGAGTTGGGCTGTGCTGTGCACAGGCAGCAGTTGAGGCTCCCTAAGGATCCTGGACCACTGGCCCTTAGGGTTTCTTTGCCCTGAGATGTAACAAGCAATTCTAGTGATGAGTGAGATGGCAAGAACCAAAACACCAAAACTGAAATGAAGGGCTGCCTAGCAGATTTTGTTTGAGATTGGCTGAAATTCCTACAGGACAGGTGGCACAGGGGAAGAAAAGAGTTTATAATTAAAATTTCTGAGCTTTCATCAGGAATAAAAGCCATAAACCAGGAACATTTTCCCCCCAGCAGCATATTCCCCTGATGCTGGTTGCCAGACCAGCTCCTTGGTGATTTACTGCAATCAGATAAGGAGGAGGAGAGAGATCCTCCTGGGAGCTGTGCCTTTTTGGCAACTAAGCCCAGTTGTGGAGGTTTTAACTAACAGTTTAGTCTACAGTTGTACAGAAGTAACATCCAGCTCTTGCTTGGCTCCAAGATCCAGCAATGGAAAGCTTGTTTGCAAAGAGGGAGAACAGGGTGACCTGCCTGATGGAGAGGAATGTGCAGTTTTCTTGTCTGCAGTCTCATCACTCTTATTTTTCTTCCTACACCCTGCCTTGGTGTCTCCTGTGGGAACCTAACGGGAAGCTTTGCAGTGGTGTTTTAGGGCATTTTGTAATGCAGTTACTTGCCAAGTTCTCCACCAAACAAAACTTCTTGTGGGGTTGAGCACTAGTTGGGTTGCCAGAGTACTCTCCAAGGGTCACTGCCATGTGGCTGTGGACTTCTCTCTGTGCTCCACAGGGTGCTTTTTACAGCTGATGCCCTCTGGCCCAGGGCTGTGTGTTGTCTGGAGCTGGACTTCTCTTGTGGAGGTAACAACAAGGGGTTGATCTTTGCTAAGGGCTCTCCCTCATCAGTGTTTCCTATGCATTCCCCTTTTTTTCCCCAGCTCCTGAATGTATTATCACAACCTTCAACTTCAGTCACTTTTATTTCTCAGCCATGGCATGTATCCTTTCCCTCCTGCGGCACCACCACGGCTCTGAGTAACTTTTCTGGGTGCGAGTTCAAATGTCCATGGTCTTCTGGGTTGGCAGGATGCCCAAGTACAAGGAGAGAATCACTTTGCCCTTCCAAATCAAGTTTTGAGTTAATTATCTGTTTACTTGGACAGAGTATGTCCTTGCATGTAGGGAACATAATCTTGCCATCTGGATTAGGGTCAGAGGAGTTCAGAGTTTTGGCACAGCAGAGAGAGGGAGGGAGGGATGGGTGGCTCTCCAGGGGAAGGACAGGGGCCATAGGGCTGCTTGGGTATTTGAGGGCTGGGTGTTCATCCTCCTGCTTCTACAGAGTCTGGGTGTGGTTGTGGGCAAGTAGAAAATTGCTTAAACTTTGGTTTGGTAAGTGGAAAGGAGTAGTTCAAGGAGATGGAAGTTAAACTGGAGGAGATCGTGGAGGGGACTGGGAAGCCAAAGGCCCAGGAAGAGATGGAGAGTAAATCCAATCTGCAATGGAGTAAATCAGAAGTATCCATTATTTGTGTTGTAAAAACCTGTTGTGGGGATGCTCACAGGAGTTGGTGCCACAGTCCTGCTCTGTGGTTCTGCAGCAGTGGGGCCAGGGCATGCTGTCACCTTGTGGGAAAGAGGGAGGAAGCCCCAGATCTGAGGGGTGACTGGAAGGGTGGGGTCATCCCCCAGTAGCACCCCAGGGGCTCTGTGGTGAGTAAGGGCTTTAGTAAAGGTTGGCCATCAGTCCCTGTTAGTGTTGCTGGGGTGTCAGTAGGAGCCTGGTTTGGCTCCTTGGCTGGAGTGCTGATGCTGCTGGCAGAGGGGAAGCAGAAATACTTCAGATGGATCAGCAGGGATACAAGAGGAAGGGAAAAGCTTGGTGTGACACCTTGGGGCGCAGAAGAACCTTGCAGAGTTTTGGTGCAAGGCCTCTATCCAAAGAGTTGTTGGGTGGTCTTGTCCTCCTAAGACTAAATGTAAAGCAAAAAGCATTTTCTGGATGTCCTTTAATGCTGTCCCATGTGGCTGCTGGTGCTCACTGTTTTTCCTTGCTCACAGTGCCTCTGACTGCCATGGGGGAGCCCAGCATGGACCCAACCATCTCTGCTGCTGACAGCCCTGCACAGCAGGACTCTCTCTTCAGCATGATGGACGTGTTCCTCATCTCCCTCATCACTGGACTTTTTACCTACTGGTTCTTCTTCCGCAAGAAAAAGGAGGAAGTGCCTGACCTCCCCAAAATGCAGTCAGTGTAAGTAACAGCTCTCAGGCTGCGTGGCACCAGTGGAGCTTTTCTCTCTTGCTTGTGGTGGGTTCTGGGAGGCTCAGCTGGATTGAGGGAGGTCGCTGAGGCAGCATTTCTCTGCCCTCAGCTGCTGTGTGTTCTGCTCACACTGCAGAAATCCCGCTGGAAGAGCCAGGCTGCAGTTCTGCCTTACCCCACCGTGTGGCCCAAACTGGGAACTGGCCTTTCCCAAGCAAGGCAGGAAAGCCTCTGGCTGTACCTCAGAACTCTTGAAGATTTAATTCTCGGTGTTTTCTGATAAAAGTCACATTTAGGTAAATCTGAAGAAAGGTGGACTTGCTCCTAAATAGGTTTCCTATTGGAGATTTTATCTATAAAGGGGTATATATAAATATATATATAAAGGAATAGTCCCGGGGTTGCTGGGAGATAGTTCCTGGGACAAGCTGCTTGACAGCTCCTGTTAAACTTGATTGTAAAACTCCTGTAAAACTTGATTGGCTTTTCGTGCCAGGTTACCACAGCAGTGGGAGAGTGGATTTGGAGAGGGAGAGCTTTATTCCACCCTGTCTTCTGCAAAGGGGCCAGGAATGAGCCACACAGGTGGAGTTCTGGGTGCATTTCATTCCTTTATCAGTCACGTTCTAAACTTAACATCACTTTTCTGCTGGATTTCTTAGCTCATTCTTTGTTTCCAGCCTCTTGCAGGAGGTTGGAAAGTATATTTTGTCTGGGAGGGTTTTAAAGGGCAGCAGTGTCCCTGGCTGTGGTAGCTTGTGCAGATGGGTGCAGACACGGCTGGCAGCAGCCCAGCTGTCTGTGCCTGCCCAGTCTTACCTTGGGAATGTGTTGGATTGCTGGGATGCTTGCCCTCCCATGCCTGCCAGCCAGGGCTGTGTGTGCCATGCCTCTGGAGATTGTAAGAATGGCTGTGCTGCTGCAGTGAGAGCTGAGCTGGCTGGGGAGAGGGCACTATCCATCTGAAACTGGATCCTGGCATGGCACAGCTCCCGTGCTCCCTGTCCTTGTGACTGATTCCACCTACAGCCCTTCCTGTGCAGCTCTTCCAGAGGCTGTGGTGACCTTGCAGAGAAGCACTGACTTCTGGTTGTGTGTTACCACCTCGTTCTGCTGCAGGGCCTCAACATGTGGGCTTCCATCCCAGCCTGGCTGTAGGTCCTGGCTCTGAGCTGCCTCACAAGCACTTTGTTTCCTCTGTGGGGTCTGTGCTGCCTTCTCTGTCCCTGTGAGCAGTGACTGGGAGGGAACAGCTGCTCCTTGTGGGAGATGTGGATCAGCAGCACCTCCTGTTGCCAGTAACCACAGAGGTGAGGTTGTTCTGCGAGTTGTCTGCCACGACTGCACTTTGGAAAGTGTCAGCCGGACAGGTGCAGATCAAGAGGAGGCTGTGAAGTGTTTTTCCCTGCTGTGGTCATTGTATCAAGCTGGTCTGAGGGCAGTGTGACCCTAAAAGCCAAGGCTGTGGCTGGTGGCACATCCATCCTTCAGGACAGAGACACTGACTTCCTGCAGCTTTTGCAGTAGGATTTCATGGGATGCCTGGAACTGGGAGGAAAATGAGTGGGAAAACAAGCTTGGTCAGCCTTGGGTTTCCTTCCCTCCTGTAATCCTTGAGTCTGGGCTGGGGTTTCCTTTCTCATGAACAAGCAAATCAGGATCACACTGCCTGTGGCTGGCTGGATATGGCAGGTGGGCCCCTGGCAGGCAGGGAAGCTGTCCCACACCCATGAAGGCAGAGAGGCCTCGGTGGGGGCTGTCTTTGGCTGGAGTGGAGAGCCTTGACCTTTAGAGGGGTTGCATTTCTTCAGCTCATTCTCTGCAGCTCTGCCAAAGTGTCCTGAACTGCTTTATCTGATGGCATTGGGTGATGGTTTCTGTTGTGTCCCTTTGGCCCCCCAATGTCAGCCTCAGAATACTGGAGGATGAAGGTGCTGAATAACAATTCAGACACATCACAATGCTGCTGCTTTGGTGATTTGTTTGCAATGCTGAAGAGTGCAAACAGAGTCTCTGACATAAAACCAGCATCCAGCACCTCAGTGCCTCTCTGGGGTTTTTGGGAGCAGCACACCTTCATAAAAACATGTCATCTTGGCAGGGTCTGCAAAGGAAATTTGTTGTTACTGCCCTTGATTGTGGAAGAGCAGATGTGTGGTTGAGATGCCCTGTTCTGGATGGCAGCTGGGCTGGGTTCTCTCTGCGTGGCCTGGGAATCATCACAGTCTTTCCAAGCAATGCATCTTCAGGTTCAGCCACAGCTCAGAGAGGGATCAGGCTGCTGATCTTCCCCCTTGAGCCAAATGGAGCTGTTTTTCTGCCTGAAGTGCCCACAAAAGGGACAGAACCCAGCTCATGCAGTGATTTCCCGCATGTGAGGTGTCCCATACCTGTGACGTGTAACACGTGTGTGTGGGCCAGGCTGGGATCCCACTGACTGAGAGTTCCTTGTGTTTTGACCATTTTCAGACTTAATTAAAACCACCAGAGCAGCTCTCCTTGCAGCCTGCTCTGCAGATGTCATTATGGAGAGAAGCTCTGGACCGCCACGCAGCCACGGCCACCATGCTTCCTTGCTGGGCCATTGCTGGGGAATGCAGGAATTTATTTTTGTTCTTTGGCTTCTCCTCCTCTGCAAGTTTCTCAATCACAGATTTCTTTCCCTTCTCCTGTTCCCCCTCTGCAGACAGTCATGCTGGGGAGATGCAGGTATCCATTGATATGCTGAGTGTCACCCTCTCCCTTCTCCCCCCCTCTTTAACATTGTTTGGGACAGAAACTGGCTTATCTCTATTCTGCAGCTATGCAGAAATCCATTCCCTGGTACTTGTAAGGCTTCCTGTGGCAGGAATTGCTCCAAGTCCTTAGCCTGATTAGCTCTCTGCTGCCTGTGTGTGTGAGAGAGACCATCTCTAATTTAATTTAATAGGATCCTGAGGAAAACAAACTCCTGTGAGCAGCCTCTGTAATGGCACTGCCATAGTTACCCGAAGCGTTGCTCACGCAGTGTCTGGAATCATTTCATTCAGCTACAGCATCAAGCTTTTTTTTTTTTAGGGATTTTTTTTTTTTTTTTAGTAAAAGAATATATATAAAAGCAGCTGTGATATAAACAGTTTCCAAGGGAACGAGGCTGGGGGAGGGTTTTGTGTCCCGTCCCCTGCTCCGTGCGGATGGGAGAGGGACGTGTGCTGCGGAGGATCCTGGGAGGTTTCATTCTCCACTCCTAATTCCTTTCTACCACTGCTGCCAGATGTTGCAGTTTCTCAGGACTGCGCAGATCCACTCAGTAACTTCCAAAGCCCCACCACGAGGATCGGGGTGGACGGGACCACTCCTGCTATGACCCGTGCCGGGACCTTTTGTGCCGGCTCTCTTCTCCTCAACAAAAGGCTGACGCTTGGTTTTAACGCCCAGGAGGAGCAGAATGGAAAGGCCTGTGTGCGTGTGGCTCCAGAGCTAAGTTAGATCCGTCCCCCCACAGCTCCCCTTGCAGACACACGGCTGCCCTGGACTCTTTGTCTGCCTCCTCCCTGCCCTGCCATGGGCTGTGTGTACTCAGCCCCGCGGGAAGAGCCGGCCGTGGCCAGGTGAGTTACTCTGCCCCATGGGCTGGTGGGCTCCTTCCAGCTCCAAATCTGGGTGGAGTGGGAGCCTCCTTCCCCTGCAGCAGGAGGAGAAGGAAGGGGAGAGGCTGTGCTTGGAAGCAGGCTGCTCCAGGGGAGACCCTGCTGTCGGTGCTCGGTTTCTGGGCAGCATCCAGGCTGCGTCCTCACTTCTGGATGTATCCATGCTTTCAGCAGGAAAGCCACGGGAACAGGAGCTTTCTGAAGCAGAGGTGTTCATCTGGGACAGACTTGGGTATTCTTGCTGAGCTGTTGGGAGCTTCCTCCACTGTCCTTTCTTTCTCCTGAAGCCAAAGTGACAGAGAGCCCTGGGAGTTGTTGTGCTGTGGGCTCTCACCAAGGGTGGCAGAGCTGTACGAGCTACAGACTCACTCTGACAATGGGGTTAATCCCCTTCTCTCCACCCAGCACTTCTTGTAGTGCTTGTAGCTGCTACCCTGAGCTGTGTAAGCTGTAACAGCAGTCCTTGCTGAGGACAAACTTTCTCTTCCAAGTTCCCCTGGCAGAAGAGTGAAAATGAGTGTAGTTTCTGCCTTTGGTGCCTGTGTGTTTTCGCTGCTCAGATTTTCAGGCCACTCTGATGAAGCAATTTCAGGGAGCTGTGTAGCCTTTTTTCCAAAGCCAGGCTCATTATTTCTTCTGTATCTGAGCCACAGCCTGTTCTCCAGCACTCCCTTCAGTGTAGGGTTGCCTCCTTTGAAAACAGACGAGCTCCGTGTGCTGCTCCCTCATCTCTTCCAAAGGGAGCTTGTTGAAAGGCTCTAAAAACTTTTCTTTTTCTCCTCCTTTAAAAGCATTTTGTTTAGTAGTTAACCCAACAGTTGTTTTAATTGGATCTCATTTGCAGAGGGCAGGAATTAAAGAAGTTCACCAAGGAGCCAAAAACTAAGTGAGAGCTGTGTCTTGAGAGCTTTCCAGAGCCCCTGTCCTCACTGCAGCGTGGGCAGGGCTGGGGCTGCTCCCATAAGATACTTGTGATATCCCAGTTCCCAAGAGGGGACAAATGACAACATGGGGAGATTGTTAACTGCTGAGAGAGCCAAGCAGGAGTGTGAAGCAGCTCTCCTGGGAGCACAGCTGCCTTGGGGAGCTTTTGGGGGTCAGCTTTTCTCTTCCTTTGTGTGTGCTTTGTCTTTTGTATGAGATTATTGGTGCTCAGAGCCATCAGGCCCAGTTATGGAGCTCCTTGATCCCTTTGGGTAGCAAGGGGTGCTCCAAGGGATGTTCAATGAACATTCCCCACCCTGCTGCTCTGTGTGTGTGTGTGTGCTCTCCACAAATGCCTCGGCACATCTGCAGGATCTCTCCCTCTGGGCTATAGAGCTGAGGAAACTGTTAGCAAGCTCTTCACATTCTCACATGGGCTGGAGCCAAAAACATTTGTTTTTTGCCTGGAGGCTTCTCTCTTCCCACAGGAGACCCAGCCTTGCATTCTTCCATTGTGGAACGGGAATGGGTCCCACGTTCATCTTCCCTGCTACCAGAGTTTTGGTGGGGAGGGCAGCAGGGGAGCTGCTGTCCTTGCCTGCTCTGAAAAGCTCCCAGTGCCTAATCTGACTGTAGCTATGGTCACCTCTGCTTGTGAGGCTCCAGAGGTCCTCGGGGCTGGGCTGTTTTCACTCCATGAAAATCCAAAGATGTGCGAAGGGTAGCAAAGCTCTTCTGGCTCCCTAACAGGGCAGCCACGGCTGTGTGAATCCCCACCTCCTGGGGTTTGTCCCTTTTCCAATTAGGGAGAGCCATGTCCATACAATAATGCAAAGGTTCTGTGCAGGACATCCATCCTGGGAATGGGGACCTGCATGGAACGAGCTCCACAGGACTCAGCTGGCAGAGCTTGTGGGGAGCTCTGTGGGTCTGATCAGCTGCGTGTGTCTGTTCCAGCTCCCCAGCTCTGGGGCTCATGTCTGGCATGCTGTTTTGAGGTTGAAACAGATGATTTTTAGCCTGTTTGAGTTCAGATGTGCCTTGGGGGGATGGCTCATCCTGCCTGCCCATGGTGGTGTGGGAAGCAGGGAGTGATCCTTTCTCTTCCCTCACACCAGCTTGGCCCCTGAGACTTATCTGGAGACCTGCTCCTGTGAGATCCTTTAACCTGCTCAGCTGTGGAAGCTCTCAGAGCAGTTGATGAAGGTTTCCTGCTGGGCAAGGCTGGGTGCCTGGGCTTTTCCTGTGGGAGGATTCACTGGGGCTCCAAGTCTCAGCTCTGTGGTTGTGTGCAGAAGCCCTGTGGTTGAGCAGTGGCCATCCCTGGGGGACAGGGTGAATAACAGTGGTCAGCAGAGATTCACACCCTTTGGGGCAGCTTTCCTGAGGTCTGGAGGCCTCTTTTTCCCCACTTGCTTATTCCTGACCTCAGAAATGAATGAGGTTCCTCCTGTCTTTCAGAGCAGCTCCGGTGAGGGACAGCAGCTTCATCGAGAAGATGAAGAAGACGGTAAGCTGCTTGTTCTGCCTCCAAGGGGTGCTGGGAAGGTGGGGGAGCTCATGTCCATCCCAGTTTCCTCTGGAAACTGTCAGCAGGAGGAGCTGGTTTGGATACAGACACATGGCTGCTGCAGAGGGCATCCAGAGGAAGGCTGTGTGAGCAGCCAGGGATAGCTCTTCTAGTCTGTGCCTGAGAGTTATTAGAAAAGAAATTAAAGCGAAAATTTGGTGGTGGAAAAAAATAATGTAATATGAGATCAAAGTCAGGAGGGAAATGGCAGAGACTTTAAAGTAATTGGCTGGCAGTTGTTTATCTGTGTGGTTGGTTCCCAGAGTGGCTGGCTGTGGAATGGGAATTGTTGTACACAGAACTGTCAGCTTTTGACTCTGCTGGTCTGGACACAGGAGGAAGCAGAGGAAGAAAAAAGGGCTGGATGCATTTTCCCTTTTGCTTCAAAGTAGCTGGCTTGCAGCAGAGCAGGAGCTCTGGTGCTCAGGCACTTGCCCAAAGCCTTTGGCAAGTTCTGCATTCTCATCCAGGGTGTTCCCTGTTTCCAGGAGTCACACTGCAGCCTCGCAGTTACAGAATAAATCTGGAAGGTTTATTCTTCACTTTGGGTTTTAGTCTGACCTGAGTCTCCCCTCTGAGAGTGGCAAGAGTCATGTTCTCATTAACAGCTCAGCCTTGAGTTTTCTGCCAAACCCTTGGAGTCCTGCACAAGCGCAGACTCCTGGTTGCCTTTAGGTTGCAGTCCAGGATTCCTGATCCCAGGCATTTCCTTTGTCTGTGCTTCATCCCTGCATCTGCCAAATGACTAATCACCATTTAAAAGGGATTTTTCTTTTTCCCCAGGGCCGAAATATAGTGGTTTTCTATGGTTCCCAGACGGGCACAGCAGAGGAGTTTGCCAATCGCCTCTCCAAAGATGCCCATCGCTATGGCCTCCGGGGCATGGCAGCAGATCCAGAGGAGTATGACCTGGTAATTTAGCCCTGAACAGCCTTGGGATAGTAACAACCTTTCAGTGCCCCCTAAGAAAATCCAATGACCCTGGCCAAGGGACAGTTGTGTCGTTTAGGGGAGAAAAGATCAGCCTGGGAGATGCAGCTGTGGGCTCAGTCCTTGCCATTCTGCATTCTCCTGGTCCCTTAAAGCCTTGCATGGATAATCCCATTGCTTTTCTGATGGGGTAGAAATACTGACTTGCAGTCCAGTGAGGGTGGTTGCCTTTATCTTTCCCTGCCATTTTGGGTGGGTTTGGCCTTTCCCATCCTCTTCTGTAAATGCGTGGTGCTGTTCACACACCTACGCTGTGGGGATAGGAATTGCCCAACAGCCACAGTGTGGGATCCTTGAATATTCCTTCTTTCCTCTGGTTGCAGTCAGACCTGAGTCGCCTCTCTGAGATTGACAAGTCCTTGGCTGTGTTCTGCATGGCCACCTATGGAGAGGGGGATCCCACGGATAATGCCCAGGATTTCTACGACTGGCTGCAGGAGGCTGATGCCGACCTGTCGGGTCTCCGCTTTGCAGTAAGTGGCCCCATTCCAGTTTTTGTGCTGCATTTGGGTAGGAAGGCCAAAAGCCCTCCAGAGTGGCTTGGGGAAAGGCCCAACATGATGTTGTATACCTTGTCTGGGATGAAGTCCCTGCTGTCTTCCTGCCCAGGCTTTGTGGACACTTGCAAATGTACATCTGGAGGCTTTAAATGCAAATGTCAGAGTTCTCTCTCCATTCCCTAAACCATGAGGGTTTCCTGGTATAAACAGCCCCAAACAGCCCTGCAGGCACTGAATACAAGTCTGTAAATGAGCTACAGGCTGCTGCTGCTCTTCAGAAGCTAATTGAGCAGCCTGGGGCCAGATCTTCTCCCACAAATTAAGTCACTTGGAGGAGTGTGTAGCTATCTTCCTGTGCTGAGCTGAATAACTGAGAAACACCTCAACAACTCTCAACAAACAGCCACCTCACCTAAACCCTAGCCAAATTCCTTAGGCAGCATAATATTGCAAGTGAGAGTAAAATCCACTGGTGGAGATGGGAGGCTGCTCTGTGTGAAGCAGTGATCAAGCATTTACTGTGTGCTTTGTGGGAGGCTAAGGCCAGCAATGGCTCTCCAGACAGCCCAGGTTCTTACTGGTCCCATGAGGAGATGTGCAGGAGCTCCTGGAAGTGCACCCAAGCTCAGGGGAGATGCTGGTGTCTCCTGACCACACACTCTCCAGCAGTAGATTCTTACTGGAGAGCTGATGGGGGAGCTGGGAGAGGTGTCACTGTCTTTATTCCACATCCTTTGAGGGGTGATACGTGGCCAGAGGATGTCAAATGGATGGGGAAAGTCCACCTCCTGCTTCTCTGTGCTCATGAGTGTTCCCTGCCAGGTCTTTGGGCTGGGGAACAAGACTTACGAGCACTTCAACGCCATGGGGAAGTACGTGGACAAGAGACTGGAGGAACTTGGAGCCCAGCGCATCTTTGAGCTGGGGCTGGGAGATGACGATGGCAAGTGAGTGCCTTGGGCTGAGGGGCTGGTCTGAGCTGTCTGGAAGCATCTTGGAAGGGACCTTGGCAGGGAATTGGCTCCACTACCAAGACAGAAATAAACTCCACGGGGCTCATTGTTGGGGTTGATGTATTTCTGAGTGTGTGTCTGCCACAATCACGGGGAGTATCCTAAGGGATCCTGTGTCTGGGAAGTCCCACATCAGCTTTAAATGCCCATGGGTACAACTGGAGCAGGCTTTGCAGCCTCCTGTGCCTTTGCCCTGCTGCAGCCTGTGTGGATAAACTCACCCATCCCAGTGAAGGGGGAAGGTTAATCTCCTTGGGAGGTGTTTCCTGGTGGGAGGCAACAATTTTCCAACTCAGACAATGAGATTTTCTTTCTTTTCTTTTTTTTTTTTTTAACCTTTCTGTGTTCACCTGAGCACCTTGGGACATTACATCAACCTGTGGTTCTACCTTTAAGGTCTGCAGGGCTTTATGGAAGGGATATGCCGTGTGTGGAAGGCTCTGAGCCTGGAAAAATAAGCAGTGGCATGGTGGAATCATGCCACTTAGGAAGGTCACCTCATGCCAGGGGTGGACAAGGGGGAGCTGAGTTTTTTTTAAGGACTGAGCCTAAATAGCAAAGCCTTCCTTGGCAGACCTAGGGAAGGGAGGGGTGTCTGGTGTAGCAGCAGTTCCCACTCAGTGCTCTGCAGGCGCTTTCCTGGTGAACTGTGGGCATGTGGAGGTACCAAAGGTGGCTGGGTTTAAGGCAAATGCCTTTTCCCACAGTGATGGGAGAGAGGAGGACCACAGGGATATCAGGGAGCTCCTCTGGGAACAGGGCTGGGTTATTGACTCTCTCTTCTTCCCCGGCTAGCCTGGAAGAAGACTTCATCACCTGGAGAGAGCAGTTCTGGCCAGCAGTGTGTGAGCACTTCGGGGTGGAGGCTACAGGAGAAGAGTCCAGGTGGGTTTGGGAGCAGCTCCTCTTGTGTGTCAGAGACTGGCCACCTCTGACTGGTGGCTGTGCCATCAGCCCTGGGCTGCTGTTCCCTGTCCTCTGCACTGCCTCCCCTTCCAGAGTCGAGCAGGGCACAAGTGAAATATAGCAGAAATACAGGCTGTTTGGCCTGAACCTGTCCTGGTGTGAGTCCAAGCCCAGCTCTGCATTCCTGTTCTGAGATGGAGAAGATGGGTTTGGTTCCTTTGGGGCTGCTGTGCTGGTTGTGAGGCTCCAGGGAGGCTGAGGGTGTCCCTTGCTTTGGGCTTTCTGCCAAGTGTGCCTGGTCTCTCATGTCTCAAGAGGGGCAAAGGGATGGAATTTGCATTTGTTTATGAGCTGCAGCAAATCCAGCAAAGGAGATGATGGTTCCAGTTGTACCTTGAGGGTTCCAGTTTGATTTTTGTCTCTTCCCTCTCCCCTTTTCCCCTCCAGCATCCGGCAGTACGAGCTGGTGGTGCACACAGATGTCAACATGAACAAAGTCTACACGGGGGAGATGGGCCGGCTCAAGAGCTACGAGAACCAGAAGCCGTGAGTGCCAAACCCCCTGGGCAGGGTGTACATGGGGCAGGTCTTGTCTGGTGGCTCCCTGATGTTTCTAACAGCACCTGCTGTGCAGGCAGTGCCATTCCTGCAGCACAGCAGGTCTCTGCCCAAGAGAAATGGGCTCAGATCTCCAGTGGGACCCTGAGATTCCCCAGTTAATGAATCATTTGTGGCTGTGGTCACATCCTCTGTTTGGCTGGTACATCCACAGCATCTGTCCTGAGCCTTCCCTTGCCTGCAGTGGCCAATGCATGATGGCTGCTGGCAGTACTGCTGTGGGGAGATGAGCTTGAAACATTCATTCCAGCCTGAAACCTTTCTTTGAGATTAATCCACTCCTGTGTCATGTGTCCTTAATGGGACAGAAGCTGTTGACTGCTGGGCTGTGGTGAGAAGGAAAAGGAACTGTTTTCTGTGCTGGTGTGGGCAGCAGCATCATTTGGTTTGTGCTTTTGGAACCAGATGATGGCAGCCTGCTCTGGAGTCAGAGGGAGCATGCCTGGATACAAGGAGCTCCATGAGCCTGCAGGAGGCTATCCCAGAACACCCTTGTCTTTCCTTCCAGCCCATTTGATGCCAAGAACCCTTTCCTGGCTCAGGTTACGGAGAACCGCAAGCTGAACGAGGGTGGAGAGCGGCACTTGATGCACCTGGAGCTGGATATCTCCAATTCCAAAATCAGGTAGTTCCCTGGAGGGGACTGCTCCTCTGTTTTGGTGGGAGCAAAGAACAAGGACGTGGTACCAGCCTCATCCAGCACTTCAGAAGGGGACCTTGCTCATTAATAGTGCCCCTTTGGGCTTCTGTACAGGTACCCCCTGTCAGGACTTGCTCCCAGCTCTTGGACTGCTTTGGGTCCATCCCATCCCACATCCCTGTCCTACCTGAGCAGTCCCAGTTGCAGGAATTCTCTAGAAGTCACTCAGTAAATGAGAGGGCAGCTGAGCTGTGAGAGAAGGGAGGAGCTGGGGATTGGTCTTGCCTGAATTTGCCTGGTTTAGGTTTACAAGCATAGAGGGAATAAAGCCCTGTTCTTAAAACCCTCTCACTGGCTTAAATTCCTTAAATTGTTAGGAAGTCGTGAATCCAGGTGGCTTAACATAACAACTGCAGAGGTTTTGAGGAGCTTTGCTCTGTTCTGTTGGGAAATTGACCTGTCCTTGCTGGAGTTCTGGCAAAACTGCTGTTACCTGGGAGATCCCTGGGAAACCATTATCCCAAAATGTCACTGCTGGCTGTGTGGATCCTGATGGTGCAGGTCCTGTGCATCAGGCCAGCCCCCTTGTCTGCTGGCTGAGCTGCTGGGGGTGGTCAGGAGGTGGTGCAGGTGTTCCATGTGCTCTCCTGCTCCGTGCCAGGTACGAGTCCGGCGACCACGTGGCCGTGTACCCAGCCAACGACTCCTCCCTGGTGAACCAGATTGGTGAGATCCTGGGCACGGACCTGGACACTATCATGTCCCTAAACAACTTGGATGGTGAGTATGGATAACCCCTGAAGGTCAGCAGTGCTCCTTCAGATGTGGCCTCTGTCCTTTACCCTCAGATCCCATGGGGCACCTCCAGATGTCCCACGGCCCCTCTCAGTGTTGTGCTGTTTTAGCAGGGGCTCAGAGCCTGCTTGCTGAGATCAGCTCAAGTGGGTCAGTTGTGAAATGTGCTTAGGGAGCCTATTCAACAACAAATTATGTAACAGCACACTCCTAATTACAGAGCATCAGCCCACCAGAGCATCCTTCTGCAGCCCCAGAGCTCCTCAGAGCCCTGAATGTGTGAGATGTTCTTATTCAGCCCAGGGAGGAGGCACAGGCTTGGGGACTGAAATGACAGCAGGGAGCACTTGTCCTGATCCAGAGAGCCTTTCCTGGGTAACATTCCCAGCAGAGCTGGCCTCTGGCAGGAGGGAGATGGCAGCTGCTGCCCATCACTCCTGGAGCAGCACAGCCAGGCCTGAGGCAGCAGATGTGCTGGCCCAGAAGCCTGAGAGAGCTCCTGGTTTCTAGAGAGGAAGTGAATTTAATGCACTGCTGGAGCCTGGGGCCCCCTGTGCAGTGTCTTGTGCTGTCCAACCTCATGCTGCTATTCCTGCCCCTTATGGACCTCTCAAGGCTGAACAGAACAGCTCCATTGACTGCTGGCACAGCTGTACGTGGCTGACAGAGCCTAAGGACACTTTTGAGACCAGATCTCATTGGCCAGAGGCCAAATTAGCCATGGAGGGCAGCCCCCTGCTTAGCCTGGACTGTGCACGCACATCTCAGGGCAGGGAGCTCTGTGGGGAACACAGGGTGTATTTTTTGCTGCTAAACCAGGCAGCACCTGTGAAACACAAAATGGGCTAGTGGAAGATGGAGCTGCCTGGGGAGGGAGGTGATTCAGAGTGGAGCTGGGGCTCTGACCAACAGGCTGCTCTCTCCTCCCTGAAGCTCACCCTGCTGTCTCCAGCCCTCACTGTGTGTAATACCTGCACAAAACCTCTTAACGTAACAACGTGAGGTGGATGATTTTTAATTTTTTCTTTCTCTCCCACTTCTCCAGAGGAATCCAACAAGAAGCATCCCTTCCCCTGCCCCACCTCGTACCGGACAGCCCTGACCTACTACCTGGACATCACCAACCCTCCCCGCACCAACGTCCTGTACGAGCTGGCCCAGTACGCCACGGACGCCGGCGAGCAGGAGCGCCTCCGTAAAATGGCCTCGTCTGCTGCTGAGGGCAAGGTGGGAGCACTGCCCTTCCCAGCTGGGGGATCCCCAAAAGGCACCCAGAGAGCCCAGGGGGTGTTTGTGAGGGGAGGTTGTGATGCCTGTGCCCTCCTCGCCCGCAGGCGCTGTACCTCAGCTGGGTGGTGGAGGCCCGCAGGAACATCCTGGCCATCCTGCAGGACATGCCCTCCCTGCGCCCCCCCATCGACCACCTGTGCGAGCTCCTGCCCCGCCTGCAGGCCCGCTACTACTCCATCGCCTCCTCCTCCAAGGTGGGTGTGCTGCCAGCAGGGAATGTGGCTGTGGAGGGACTGCTTCAGCTGCAGCTCCCCTCTGCTTCAGCTGGACGTGAGGAGCTTCTCCTGGTGACATTGGCTATGAGAGGGGCAGATTTAGTGATCTCCATGCCTGGAGTCATCCCAGCTTCCCACAGGGTCTGTGGAGAGTCCCATGCCAGCCAGCTGTGCCCTGATGCCACCACTCTCTCTGGGGCCCTGCTCCTCTTGGCCTGGCAAGGTGGCATTTTAGGGGCTGGTCAAAAGTCACGCTTGGCAACCTCCAGGGAAGCTCAGTGGTCCCGTGATGAGTTAAGAGAGAAGCCCCATGAGGAGCACACAGGGAGGAATAGCTATCCCCATGAGGTTAAACTTCTCCCCACTCCTGAGCACAGGAGGAAGCAGTGTGGGGTTGCTGGGGTTCCTTCTCTGCCTGGTTCCAGCATCTCTTCCTTGCAGGTTCATCCCAACTCCATCCACATCTGTGCCGTGACCGTGGAGTACGAGACCAAGACTGGCCGCCTGAACAAAGGGGTGGCCACCAACTGGCTCAAGAGCAAGGTGCCTGACCAGAACGGGAGCAGCTCCCTGGTGCCCATGTACGTCCGGAAGTCGCAATTCCGGCTGCCCTTCAAGCCCAGCACGCCCGTCATCATGATCGGGCCTGGCACCGGCATCGCCCCCTTCATCGGCTTCATCCAGGAGCGGGCTTGGCTGAAGCAGCAGGGTGAGTGCCCAGGAGCTCCCCCAGGGGCTGGAGCTGCTGCAGGGCTCTGTGGGGCCAGGTGGTGCCTCCAGGGTGCAGCTTTGCTGCTCCTGTTGCTGCTGAGCCTGGCCAAAAGCAGAGTGCTGGGGCAGGGTGAGCAGAGCTGAGTGGTTTTGTCCACAGCAGGATGCTTTGTCCTCTTGGCCACAGAGGATGTGTTGGGGTGGACAGACCTGAGGCACTTCTCGACCTGTGCCACCACCACACCTCCAAATAACCACAGTCAGGTCACTCAGACTCGATTCTAAAGCTTGTGGCCACTTCTGGGAATCGGTCCTGAGCCTTGTAACCAGAAACCATCGTGCAGCTCTGCAAGCACAGGGTGGGGGACAGAGAGCACAGCGTTGGGGGCTGCTGGGGGGTGTCAGGACAAGGGGAGGCTGTGAAGGGACAGCTGGGGCTGGCAGGGCCCAGCTGATGGGGGCTGTGTGACCCTGCAGGCAAAGAGGTGGGTGAGACAGTGCTTTACTACGGCTGCCGCCGCCAGCACGAGGACTACCTGTACCGGGAGGAGCTGGCCCACTTCCAGAAGGAGGGAGTCCTCACCCAGCTCAACGTGGCCTTCTCCAGGGACCAGGCTGAGAAGGTAGCACACTGTTCCCACTTGTTCCTGCTGCCCACCATCACCCCCATGGCAGGCAGGAGCAGCCAGCACTTCCTGTCTCCCATCAGCACAGCCTTGCCTTCCCTCCCTCTCAAAGGTCTGTGGTGTGGGGGCTCTGCTCCTCTCTCCTCACTCCCACCTTGTTTCCTGCCAGGTTTATGTCCAGCACTTGCTGAAGAAGAACAAGGAGAATGTCTGGAAGCTGGTTAACGAAGGGATGGCTCACATCTATGTGTGCGGGTAGGTCTGGGGACAGGACGGGGATTTGGGGACGACGCTCCTGTTCTCGGGAAAAGGAGCGTGACTCAGTTTCCCCAGCTGTGCATTACAGACCCTGGGAGGGTTTTGCTGTCCTGGTTCAGAGGAGGGCAGGGGGTGTGGGGTGAGCAGACCCTCTGTGCCCAGGTGGGAGGTGGCAGTGGCTGTGCTGTGGTGTCTCACTGACGCTCCCGGTTTGCAGCGACGCGCGGAACATGGCCCGGGACGTGCAGAACACCTTCTACGAGATCGTGTCCGAGTTTGGGAACATGAGCCAGCCCCAGGCCATGGACTATGTAAAGAAACTGATGACAAAGGGCCGCTACTCCCTGGATGTGTGGAGTTAAGAGCAGGGCTGGCGGGGCCGGGGAGAGAACAGGTCCCCAGGCGTGGGCCAGGGGAGCTGGCAAGTGCCTGCTCGCCCACTGCTGCTGTGGGTGACGGTGTCGTCCCCAGCCCACGGCTACCCCGGTGTCACTCCCAACCCTTCCTGGGCCTCAGCAGCCCCTCGGGGCAGGAAAGGGTTGAGAGGGGCAGGGGGGTAGCTGGGGCAGGAGCTGCGGTGCCAGCATGGCACCAGCGTTTGCCTTGAGGCCAGCAGGGACAGCGGGGACGCAGCCAGTGCGGGGCAGGAGGGATGGACACTGCCAGGGCACTTCCCTGAGCACGAGGTGTTGCCTTATCCCTGGGGCTGGAGCCCACCCTGGCCTGCAGGGACAGCAGAGGGGCAGAGGGGCTGTGCTCAGGTGGGGATTGAGGCTTTGCCATCCTGCCACCCCCGTTTGCCCAGCTCTGGGATGTGGGGCTGGCTCTGGGCACAGAGCTGTCCCATGGCCCCACCAGCATTTCCCGCTGCCTGCCCTCGCTCCAGCACCAGCGGGAAGCTCCTCTCCCTCTGGAATACAGCTGGTTTGGGAGGTGGGGTCTCAGCCCTGCAGCTCCCCTGAGCCCAGCCCCTCCCTCACGCCGTGCACGGTCATTTTTTAAATACGGTTTTTATTTTGAACATCTTTGTGATTTAAGCATGGAAAAGAAAAAAAAAAAAAAGACAACAACAAAACCCCCAGACCTTCAGGCTCTCCAATGATTGTAAATTATTTAAATACATTTGCCCTTGGAATAAAAATACCGTGTCTGGAGTTTGCTTCCTGCATTCTCTCTGCTCAGCCAGAGGGAAGGAGGCAGGAGGAGCAGTCAATGATAACTGGGAGGAAATTTGGGGATGTGGTGGCAGCTCTGGGTTTAGGCTGAGCTGGGGGCAGCCCCTACCCTGAGTGCTGGGCTGTGGGAGGGGAGGGAGGATGGCAGTGGGGGGCTCTGGACTGGGGTGCAGCTGTGCCCAACCTGCTCTTTGGTTCTTCCAGAGCTCCCGCTGCTGGTGCAGGGTGGCTCTTCCCCCCTCCAGGGACACTGAGGTTCTACTGAGCTCCTTGGGTGGCCACAGGTCTGGCCACAGCCTGTGCAGACTCGGGTGCCGTGGGAAGGAGCCCTGCCTGCAGCCCAGGCTGGTGGAAGGGCACAGGGAGATGACTTTTCATAAAATCATGGGCACATTTAGGCTGGAAAACCCCTCCAAATCATTGAGTCCAACCCTTAACCCAGCACTGCCAAACCAGCCACTCAACCATGTCCCCAGCTGCCACACCTCCATGGCTTTTACATCCCTGCAGGGATGGTGACTCCAGCACTGCCCTGAGCAGCCCCTGGCAGGGCTGGACACCCCTTTTTTGTGAAGACACTTAATAACCAATCTAAACCTCCCCTGGTGAAACCTGAGGTTGTTTCCTCTTGTCCTATTGTGACAATTCTCCTACTGACCCCCACCTCCACCCTCCTCTCAGGGAGATTGTGTCAGGACCCACTTCTGATGACCCAAAGCTGCAGAGCAGAGTGTGGAAGCTGTTCCCAGACCGTCCTGGTGAGCCAGGGCAGCTCCTTCCCTTTATTTTCACCCGTGCAGCCTCAGGAGGTGCCAGCCCAGGGCGCTGCTTGCACAGCTCCAGCGAGAGGCCTGGGCCAGGCTCCTGCTGCTCCCAGCTGGCCCTTCCCTGTGGACTGAAGGTGAGGAAGGAGCTGGGACCCCCCTGGAGTGCCCTCAACACACAGGGGCTGCCCTGGCTGCAGGGCTGGGGGGACAAGGGGGGCCTCCAGCAGCCCAGGAGCCGTGTGAGGCAGTGCAGGACACTGCCCTGTCCCGCTGGGGTGGGGACATCCACAGAACATCCCAGGAACAGGGAGGGGAGTGGCTGTCCCAAGCATCCCGCTGTCTGGATTTGGATGGAGGCAGCCAGGAGAGGAGGTGCAGGGTGCTCCTGACTCCAGGTGAGCGACTCCAGCACGGGTCCAGCCCCGTGCTGAGCACATGGACTGTCCAGGAGCAGGCCCCAAGATCTGTCCCACATCCAGGCCTCCGAGGAACGGGATGAGACACCAGAGTCCGGACGGAATTGAGGAGAGGGGGATAGGGGATGGAGCTGGTGGGGAGAAACAGTCCAGGCCCCCACACTGCCCCACTTCAATTCTCCTTTGTGTCCTGGTTCTTGTTCTGAATCTTCTGGTGGACGACACGGAGGGTGGTGAAGAAGTTGCCCAGGAAGAGGATGAAGAAGGGGAGGCCGCACATGAGGACCTGCGGGACGAGAGGCCGGAGTCAGCAGGAGGGACCTGCCTGGAGCATCCCCCTCCCAGGACATCCCCAGGAGCCTCCTTACCTGCCACTCCTTGCACTCGGGGTGCTGGATCATGCGGAACAGGGTGATGGCGTTGTAGAGCTGCCAGAACTGCAGGAGAGAGGAGATTCAGAGGAGCTGCTGCTTCCACAGGCTCAATCCCAGGCTGGCCCCCATCCAGCTGCCACCTCTGGCTGTAAACCCCACACCCACCTGGTGTGGGGACAGTGAAACCCCATGAAGGGCCCGTCCCCAGAGGACCCCAGCTGGGACACCCCCATTTCAGGCCAGCCTTTGGCCTTCAGCCCCCACAGTCTGACCGAGGAAGGAGCTGATCCTTTGCAGCAGCAGCTCCAAGCTGGAGCTCAGAAGGGCTTTGGAAAGGCTTTGGAAGGGTTCTCACCACAGCCCCTCTGCACCTGAGCACTCGGCAGAACCAGCCCAGCTCCTCCCCATCTCACTGCCCCACTTGAGGAGGTGGTGGGTGCTTCGGAGGGAAGGGCCCAGCGTTTGTTGGAAGCATTTCCCTGCCCCAGGCGTCCCCCCTCACATGGCTGTGGCAGCCTGTGGGGTCTGTGCCCTGCCCAGACCACCGAGCACAGCTGGGAACGTGGCACATCTGCTCCCACCCTGCCAGGACTGGGGCAGCCTCACCTGCCCAAAGAAGAGGAAGGGAAGCAGGAACGTGAGGCCTCTCCACATCCAGGACTGGAAGCCCTCTGCAAGGGATGAAGGTTTCTGTGAGGACCCAAATGGGCTGGTGGAGAGGGGCAGGAGCCCAGCTCCTCCAGGCATGGGAGGCTCAGTGCCCACACCATGAGGAGCTCCTGCCATTCCAGCCTCACTGTGGGCACTTGCAGTGGGGACAGTGGCAGTGTCCCCTAATCCACCCCAGGGCTCTGGGCTCCAGTGGGGCTGACCCTCAGCTCCTGCCCTCGGTGTCACAGGGGCCGGGCAGGGGACAGCCCGCAGTGCCTGGGGTGTTGGAGGGATGTTTCATGTCTGAAGGAGCTCCCTGGGGAAAGCTGGGATGCCCAGAGCCACATCCACTGCCAGCTCACAGCCTGAGGGAGCCAGCTGTGGCTGGTGGTCCCAGCAGAGCAGGAGGAGGGGGACAATCAGCCTGTGGGGTGGTGCTGCCCCACAGGAGTTGCTGCTCTGGCAGCTTTGGTTTGATTTGTGGCTTTCACTCTTCCTGCCACTGATAAAAGTGACCTCAAATCAAAGTGTCCCCATGTCCTTCAGTAGATCCCAGAGCTCCCAGTGAGCTGAGCACCAGCCTGAGACCACCAGCAAGGGACATCCCACTCACCCACAGTCAGATCCATGTTGTGCCTCTCTCCCAGCGCTCGCAGCCGGTACAAGCAGCCACTCTGGTAATAATACTGCAGGAACTGCACAAAGCCTGCAGGAGAGCATGGCTGCTGGCAGGAGCTGCCCAGGGATCACCTGCCAGCCCCAGCATCACCCCACAAAGGCCACCCGAGGCCAGGGGAGCTGCCAGGTGAGCTGGGAGCTGTGAGCAGCTACAGCCAGGTCCCCACGTGCTGCAGGGCTCTCTCAGCACCTGGGGCTCAGCCCCTGTCCCAGCACTTACTCTGGTACATGGAGAAGGAGAGAAACTGGTTCCTGAACATCTGGTACATGAGCCCATCTGGCCTGTGGAGAGAAGGTGCTGGCTGGGGGATGTGGGGCTGGCAGGGGACCTATGGGCCCTTGGCCAGAGCTGCCCACAGCCCAGGCAGCCCCACCACGGGACGGGGGACACAGACTTACCACGTCAGCATGACACCTGAGAGGAAGGTGGAGATGTAGTGATGGAAAACCCACCAGCCTTTGATCCTGGAGGACACACACACACACAGAGAAGCTCATGTCTGGAGCGTGAATCCAGAGCCAAAGGCACCCCTGAGTGTGGAGCAGCCCAGCCCCAACCACCCCAGAGCTCCCAGGGCTGGTTGGGAAACGCTCCTCAGAGCAGGACCCAGGGCCCCGGGGCTGGGCAGCACCAGGGCCCTTCCAGCTCCACCTTCCCTCGCCTCCTCCGCACGGGAGGTTCCTCCTGCCCCGCTCCTGCAGCTCCCAGCAGCGTTTGCCACACACCCTGAGTAGGAGGGAGCTGCTCCCCTGTGACGGGTCCCAAACTCCCCCAGCCCTGCAGGAAGGCCCAGCCCCCTGCACGCCCCCTCCCCGGGCCCGGGGCACGCACTTGGAGCCGTTGTTGATGAGGATGCTCTCGCGGATGGTGAGGGTGCAGTAGTACCACACCAGGAGGAAGTTGAAGACGGCGTCTGTCACCCTGGGGCACACAGGACAGGGTGTGAAGGGACGTGCTGGGGGCACAGGCACCGTCACAGCCCGTGGGACACCCAGCCCCAAGGGAAGGGACCTGCTCCCCACCACCCACCGTGGCCACGGCAGCCACAAAGGCCAGCCCACCTCCAGGGCAGTGTCCAGATGCTTTAACAGCATCCCCTGTTCAACTCTGGCTGTTCCAGGATGGGAGAGAAGGGCAAGGGGGCTCTGGGAGGAGATCTCTGCCCAGCACCAAGCCAGACTCACCTGGAGTTGAGGACGAACCGACAGGAGAAGGAGACAATGAGCAGGATGATGGTGAGGTAGAGCTTGAACTTCTCGTACTCATCTTTATATGCAAACCTGCAGGGAGGCACAAGGGCAGGCCTGGAGTAAGCGGTCTGCTGGAAATTTGTGTCCTCCCATCCCATCTGGCTGGGTAAAAGAGATGTTCTGTTGGCAATCTCTGGGACACACTCAGGAAGAACCTTGCCTTGGGGTATTTCTGAGAGCAGAGCACATCAGGCAGCTGCCACACAGCTGGGACATGTCTGAGCACCCCAAAGCACCCCAGCGTGGTGGGTGGCCCTGGTGGGGAAGATGGGCAGACTGGGATCTGCACACATCTCAAGGGGAGGATTGGGGAACAGAGGGTCTCCCCTGGCTGGGCACCTCTGGCAACAGAAAGGCTCTCAGAGGCCAAAACCAACTTTTGGTGTTTCCCCAAGGGAAGAGGAGGGGACTATCCACTGTCTGTCTTTCCTGGAAGTTCCTAATACAGTGGAAACATGGACATGGCTTCCATGGAAGATCCCATTAACTTGTCAGAGCTAATGGTCCATCCCAGCCCAGCGGCAGGAATGTGAGGGGGAGCCAAGGGTTTGGCTGATTCTTGGGGAATGATGCAGAAAACAGCTCAGGAAGGGAATCTACACCAGGGGAGCCCCCTGTCTGCCTGGGAGGAGCTGCTGTTCCTGGTGCCAAGGGGATCCCAAGTCAGGAAAATCAGAGGTGCAGCGAGGGGGGGCCGTACTTGGCCTGTTTGCTGAGCAGTGTCACGTTCACATTGCCGAGCACCAGACTCAGGTACAACCTGGGGAGAGAGCAGAGTGTTAGGACAAGGACCTGCCTGTGGGGCTGTCCCCTCTCATGCCACCAGTGGGGCCAGGGATGAGCCCCCAGGTGCTTCCACTCAGAGCTGCCAAGCACAAAGCCTCTGGAATCCCCTCCCACGGGCAGGGGGACGGGTGGGGGAGCCCACACCCCACCTCCCACGGGCACTGGGGTGTTCACAGGGCTTCTCCTCGGCACAACCATCATCCAAGGGTGGGTGATGGCCATGAGCAGGCAGAGGAGTGAGGGGCAGCACTGCTGGCTCCTGCCCAGGTGTCCTTGGGGAGCCCGAGTGGAGCAGCAGAGCTGTGACACCGCTGGGTGACAGCTCTGGGTCTGCAGAGCTGCTGCCACAGGGATGTGGAGGGTGGCCCTGGTGCCCCACCCGGAGCTGAGGTGCCTTCTCACCCGTTCTTCTTTGGCAGGTAGGCCTCCATCTCAAAGAAAACGTTCTGCCTCTCTTTAATCAGGCTCTGGGTCTCTTGGATGGACGATTCCTGCTCGGGAGTCGCCTGGGGTTTGCATCTGGGGAGCAAACACAGCGCTGGCATCAGGAGAGCCTCTGCAACGTGATCAGCACGTGCTGGCACTCCACAGGCAACAGACTCGGGCAAGGACACCCCAAGGACAGGGAAGGTGGATGGGAGGCAAGTCCACAACTCCATCTGCAGGGCAAGCTCCTCTGCCAGGCTGTGATGGTGCTCGAGAGAAGGGAGCAAGGTGAGGCCAGATGGGTCTCCCACCCTTGGGAGGGACAGGGAGAGCTTTGTACAGGAGGAGAGCAGCTCGTGGTACCTGCAAAACCCTTCCAAGCTCTGAACTGCAAATGGGGCACAAACCAGGGCAGAGGAAAGGGGGGCTGGGGAAGATCAGCCTCCCCACAGCACTTGGCTGCAGAGAGGTTTGCATTTGAGACGTGAGCTGAGCTCAGCAGCCCCATCCTTGCTGCTCTCCCCTCCCGTGCTGCCACAGAGCACTGACTCACTTTTTGAGGGAGAGCGACAGCTCCTTCAGCCGCTTCTTCTGCCGGGCTATGGAGCTGGAGATCCCATCCTGGAGCTTGGTCAGCTCCTCGAGTTTCTGCTTGTACAGCTTGTGGTTGTCCTGGGAAGGAGAGACCAGCACACATTAGAGATGCCTGCCCAAACACCCCTGTCCTTTGGCCCTCTGTGATGCTTTTGTTAAAAAATGTCCTTAATTTCACCTGTGCAGCTGCGGGGTGAGAGGAGGTGTGGCTGCAGAAGGCCAGGTGAACTGGGGACAGCCTGCAGCCAGCCCTGTTTCCATGGGATGCCCATCCCCAACCCCAGGCAGGATGTTCCCATGCTCAGGACACCAATGACTGCACACAGCAGATAGGAAAGCAGTTAGGAATAAAAAATAAACGCTGTGTGGACCAGGGTACAACTGTGGCCACTCCTGGGACAGGATGAGAAGCTCTTTGTACCTCCAGGTCTCCCAGCTGGTGGTTTTGGGGCTCCACCTGAGCACCCCTGGGAGGCTGGAAGGAGCCTGTGAGTGAGCTGGACCAAGAGGATGGAGTCCAGCAGGGCTGCAGCCAAGTGCCCGGTAACCCAACCGCACCTGGATAAGGCTGGATGCATTTCTCCACTATATTTAGTAGGGAAAGAGGAGAGCTGCTGGATCAATGCTGCTGCTTGTCCAGCTCAGCAGGAAAACAGCTTCACCTTGGCCACAGCAGCCTGAACAGCACCTCCAGCAGGGAATTACACCAACAACCCTTGGACTAGACCTTGGCACAAACAAGTTTTAACCTCTGTAGCTTTTATCAGCCACTTGATCACCAGATCTTAAAAGTTGTTCCCAAAGGAGAAATGTGAAACCGAGAGCAGAGGAGGGAAATCTCTCTCTGGTGACAAGCAGCAACAAGGAGGGAAGGGATCCACAGCAGCGATTTATGTCCCTGCTTTATCCTAGGACATTCCCTGCTTGACCATCAAGCTTTCCTGTTGCCATCGAGAGCCACCTCCTTCTGAGTCCGGAGTTATCTGTGAGCAAGTGGCTTTTGTGACAGGTCCTTGAGCCGTGCCAGCATCCTCGCTGCCCTCCGGAGAGCCTGGATGAGGAGCGGCGCTGGGAGGAGGTGTCCCAAGGGAAGGGCCGCCGCTGAGTGCCGGCACTCCGGGCTCCAAGTGGGCGACCCGGGACATCCACGCAACCCTTATGGAGCAAGAGGAGGTTTCTCAAAGCCTCCCTTGCCCCAGATCTGGGCACAGCAGCGACGTGTCCGCAACAACATCCGCTTCACCCCGCTCCCGGGGGGGAAGGAGGGGGCAAGGGAGCGGGTTCAGCCGCAGCCGAGAGCGGCAGCAGGAGATGCTTGGCCAACCTTTCCCCGGGGTGACCCTGTGTGAGCTGAACCCTGCCCACTCCTTCCCCGGCAAGCAGCGCCCTGGGGATTACACAGAGCAGGTGGAAGCACCTCTGACACCGAGTCACCTTCCTGGCACGGAGCCCCCGGCGGTGACAGGGGGTGGCAGAGGGGACAGCGCTGGCTGAAGCGTGCCTGCATTCCGGGACAGCTCGGCTCCGCTGGCCCGTGGCCGGGCTGAGAGCAGCGATAAGGAGCGAAATGTGCGCACCTCGCCACGCCAGGCGCCGCCGCTGCCGGCAGCAAAAACGGGAGCTCCGAGGTCTCCACGGCACGACCACGGCGGGCTGGGGCNGATCTCGGGGTGCTCCCCCTCAGAGCCTCGCGTGTCAGAATGAGCAACCCAAACGCAGCGCTAAATCCCCAACACAGAGTGCTGCAAAGCCAGGGGGTGTTTTCTGTCATGTTTTATTTCCTGATGTCAGAGAACAGAATCCCGAGTGCTGTTCTTACAGACAGGACGGTACCGAGTTTAGGTTTCGTGTGACAGCACTGAGGCTTTAAAATTACCAGCTGAGGTTGGGTTGTAGAATTAGCAGGTGGCAAATGGGAAGGGTGGACTTGTCAACAATCCGTTCAGGGTAGCTGAGAAGGCACTCACAGGGCACAGGGACTTCTGAAACAGGGAAATTCTGTTGTCACCTCTCCAGGCTGGAAGTGGGCACTGTGAGACTTTAAATTTACTATTCCAGACCATGGATAACAAACCTTTACAGAGATAACCCTACTGACTGCCCCACAGCTGTATTTATAATCCTCTTTGCTTACAAAAGAGTCTCGAGCTGTGTCTAATGGGCCACGTCCTGCAGGACTTGCATTCCCTAAACTGCCACCTCCTCCAGCACAGGTGAGTTCCCCAGGAGGCTCCAAATCCTGACCCAAAATGACATGGAGCTAAAGAGGAAAGCTTTTCCATAGCATTTGGGTCTTTTTTTCACACAGTGTTCAAGTAACTTTCTCCCCAGAAAGGGGAAGGGAAGTGGCTTTCCCCATGGGATGTTCTCTGTCAGTAATTTGGTTCAGAGACGTCTGTGACTGGGCACCCGTAGATTTGGGTCTCCCAGGCTGAGAGCTGTTCCACAAAGCCCCGGTGTGGTCTCATGTTCATTTTGCATTTCAGAAGGTACTTCCAAGCTCTCTGTAAACAGAAGGAAAGTAGTGTTAGGAATTAAACAGAAAATGTCTCTTGGGCATTTTCACAAAGCAGCTACACTTCAGTCAACACAGCCTTGTATTTGCTCCCTGTGCTGGACAGCAAGAACCTGCAGAGAGGAGTTTGGTACTAAAGTGGGGACAGGCTGGATCCAGATGTGAACCTGAGAGAAACCTGTCCCCTTCATGCTCTGCTCTCCTGGATATGAGGACAGCTCAGGCTGCTTTCACTACTTAGCATTATCCTACTCTGATGGAGCAATGCAATCCTGGATTTTCTACCCTAAAATGCTGCTCCTTCCACAGATGATGAGCAAAGCAGTGAAGCATCAGCTGTAAAGGTTATAAAGCAATGAAGGTTTTGGATTGGTGTGACCTGATGTGGCAGAGCAGTTATGACCTCACAGTTATCCCACTGTATTAATTACAGCCATCTTAATTATTTGTTAGCTCCAAGTAATCACCTAGAAACGCTGACACACACAGGGCAGATCCACCAGCATTACTCCAGCTCCATCCCTGGGCTTTCCTGTCACTGCTCATCTTCCTGCTCATAAAGGAGCTTGCCCCCTGCACTTGGAAGGTTGCTTAATTGAAATGAGACCAAAGGTCAGCAGATAGTACTCCATTGGTTTGTTTTTCTAATCTTGCTGATTGTGCAGGCTCTGAGGCTGATATTCCAGTATTTACTGCTCTGGGTCCACAGTGTGGGTGTCTCTGGTTCCCCTGGACTCAATAGATCTACTCACATATTGCCCACTAACAGAATCAGGGGCTGCACATCCCAACTCTGCCTTGCTTTTGCCTTTTTGGAAGCTTTCAAAGATCTTTGCCTGGATTGGCTGGAGGATCACACAGGAATCTGTTGCACTGCTTTTGTCTGCAAGAAACAAACTTGTCTGCCAGGATAATCCCTCAGGAGAGCTTTGCCCAGCAAACAGTGCCCTGTCAATATTTTCTCTCTTTTTTTGGCATTTAGTAAAATGCTGAGACCAACCTGTTGATGCCAACTGAGAGGAATGGCAAGGCTCAGCCTTTGACTTTTGCATTGCCATTGGAAGCACATTCTGTGATTTGGTGAGTGAGTGGCTGTTATCAGCCTGCAGGAGCAATCACATCCCTGTTAGTGCAGGGACTGAACCCTGTCTGAGCCCTGCTGGCAGCCTCAGCCTCTAATTACCCACTGGCACACAGCCATGGAAAGAGCTCTCCTCTTACGTTGGACATGTTTGCACAAAATCAATCACCTTATCAGATGCAGACCCAGCTTCAGTGAAGTTTGGATCAATCCCTTCAAGCTCCTGAACTTTCCAGACAAGGGTGAGGTTTTTAAGGAGAGGCTGGCCAGTTGCCATGGGAACTCTCCGTGTTAGGAGACACCAGGAGATGCTGCCTGTGTGTTGTGTGCAAAGGGAGAAAGGCCTGGCACCAGGGGAGAGGCCACCAGGTCCTTGCACAGCCAGGCCATTCCCAGCCATCCTTCATTAATTTCTTTGGTTATTCACAGCTATGGAACAGCCTGTACTGGCCATCTGACCTGTACATCCTTCCTGGGCAAGTGTTATCCCATTGCAGATTTCTATACAGGAGTGTCTGTGGGAGGGGATTGCTTCTGGAGGAATAAAAAAGGATTTGGGAAGAAGTCAGTGCTGAAGCCAAAGGTAAATGAGAGCCCTGCAAACACTGGGTTCTGAACTTCTCTAACACCATGGAATTAAGAGATAGCTTTGCTTTGCTAGCCCTTTAGTTAAGTAGGGGAAACAAAAATTCCACAAGTTTTAGAGTAAGGACTCACAGATCCAAAATCACATCTAAGCCACCTCCCTAATGGTCTAAAGAAGATGCAACCTCAAATCACATAATCAGTTCCATTATCAGGCATGAAATCACAGAGAATGTCTTGTTACTACAGTGATGTGGCTTCAGAGAGAAATGAAGTGCAGAGCAGTTCCTGCAGGGCCAGTGCCAGTGACATACCTGCAGGGAAAAGCGGCAGGAGTGCATCAGATAAGCCATGGTGGCTGTGCTGCTCCGGCTTATCCCCAGGCTGGAGAACACCAGCACTGCTCCCACGTCCAGCTGAGTATCTGAGTCAAGAAATGCCAATCACAAATTAGTGAGCTGGGAAATGGAGCTTCCCATGGCAGAGTGAAGCACTGATGTGGTGACAGCTGACAGGGGGGCTGCAGCCTGAGAGACAGGAGCCCTCAGGAACCCTGACAGCAGCAGATGGGCACTGCCAGCTCCCATTTCTGTAAGCATTTGCCTTTCTTAAAAATCCACATGGCCTTGAAGAGCAGCACCAATGACAATGACCAGGCAATGCTTCATTACACAGCAGTGTCACCCTCACATCAGGGATCTGAGGTTTTTCATGACCTATCAGCTGTGGTCAGCATCACAAACTCTCCCCAGACAGGTCAAAATGCATTGAAATTTTATTTTGCCTGGAAGGTTGCATATTTAATTACTAACCTTTTAGTTCTTTCTCTGCCTCTCTAGACAGAATGATGTTTTAAAAATATTAGCAACTGAACTCCAGAATTCAAAGAGCAAAGACTTTTCTTTTAGAGCTGTCAAGATGTTTTGTTTGTTCTTTTTTTCCACATGCATTTTTAAAGCTCATTTCTATTGTGAGCCAGCATTTTAAAACTCATTTCTATTGTGAGAGACTAGTTCTATCCTAAGATCTGGGCAGAACTGGCTTTACTCCAACATACACCTGGCATGAGGACATGCACACTCCTCTTGGAGTATTTGGAGAGCTTTAGTCTCATGTTCTGGTTTGAGTAATCTGCTCTCCACTGCCAAGTAAACAGTTCCACTATCAGATAAACAGCGGGACACTTCCACAAGTGCAGCTAATAGTCTTGTAGTCTGGTTTGGAAACAGCCACAAACCATGTGTGATGTCAGAAGGAAACTTCTGAAATACTACTGGGAAAAAGCATGAGGCACAATTAAAGGCAAGGAAATAAATGCCAACATTCAGGTGCACCAAATCATGAAATCCAGTTCAGGACTACAAAATTATATCCTCAAGTGTTGTTTCTTTGTGTGCAGTTGTCATGTCATGTCTGATATTGTACTTGGGTTAAGGTCTGTGGGGTCAGGGTGGGCTTTTGCTTCTGGCTCTGTCCAGCACAGCTCAGCAGGGCCTTGGTCTGTGGCAGGTGTTATTTGATAAGCACAATAAAAGATAACAAGATGGTTGGACAGCATCAGATGGAGCTGCAGGAGCCATGTCTGCTGTGCAGCTGCAGGCACTGAGCTGCAGAGTGTGTTTTTTCTTGCCCTATCTGATGTAATCTGCTGAGGCAGGTTCATGCTGTCCAACCTGAAAGTCTTCCTGGGCACTACAGTGGGTCTGCACTGCAAATCACAAAGATGATCAATGCCTCGTGCTGAGCCCTCTAAGCACAGTAACACTCTGCTTCAAATAAAGCTCTGGTGGCTGAAGATTTGGGCCAGTGACAATCAAAGGGCTGTTGCAAAGGAGTAAGAGGGAATCCTATGAAGCCCTGGTAGATACCCTGCTGCAAAGCCTTTTCAGATTAGATGGAAAGCTCCCCGTTATCAGAGTGAGGTATCCTTTAAAGTGAGCAGGGACATCAGAGTCAGATGCCCTGTAAAATCCCCTCTCTGTCCATGAGGCTGGTTAGTTAATCTCCTCTCTGGTATCCATCAGGGTGTGGGCTTGCTTACCCTCCTGCCTGGGCTTCCTGTCACTCCCATCTAATACCCTACAGTGAGCAAGGGCTTGGGAATTCCAGATCAGGATCCACTCACCTATGAAATGAGAAATGGTGGGGAAGGAAGAAAAAAGATCTGCTTCAAGTGAATCTGGAACAGATACATGGAGGGATTTACCTTCTTCTGCAAACCTGGAAAAGAGCACACAGACCACATGGAGCAGAGAAGCAGCCTTGACAAGATGTGTTTGTTGGAGGCAAGGTGATCATTTCCTTTGCTGTTATACATGTGAGTTTTTCATCATTGTCATCATTAACATGGAAAGGGATTTGTTATGGGGAGGCACAGAGATGTTTGTAACACAGAACCAGTTCAATCACTGATTTTCTATTTCAGTTTCTATTTCAGCAATGATGCCTTCACCTACAGAGAGAAAAATGAAAGCAGGTGAACTGAAAGCAGGTGTGCTTTCACAGACTTGTTGGCTGCTCTGTGGAGCCCCCTCAGTTCACTCCATGTGGTTTTCTATGGCAGCATCTCCTCCTTCCACAGACTCAGAGAACCCACAGGGCAAAAAATTGGTGAGGAATTTCCAAAATGTGGAAACACATCATACAGAGGGCATGGGAGTATTACCCACAGTGCAGAGACATTCCTCTGGAGCCAAAGGCATGAGAAATGCCCTGGGATGGGTAACTGGATTTGTTACTTTGGGTCACTACCTTGAGAAATGCCACTGGGGTTTTCACTGTGTGAAATTGTATTCCAGCAAGGCCTGCAGACTGAGCTGACTGGTCATGGACAGAGCAGGTAAGGAAGGAAGACCAAAAATGTGTCCTATTGGTGATTCAGTTTTCACACTGATGTGTTGGTAAGATTTTGCTCTGAAAGCTATTTAGAGATACAGGTTTTTCCTGAAGAGTGGTGGTATGTGATAGACTTGAAATACCAAGGGCTTCCCAGTCCTCCTCCTACCCAATTCACCCATGGCATGGTCAAGGGCTGCAGGACTGCGTTGCTGCTGTGCTAACTCTGGAGCAGAAATTAGAAAACTGAGCATGAAATGGCATTGGAACTTGCACAGAGGTTTCCTTGGAAAGCCACAGGCACTGAATCCTCTGCCAGTAAATTCTGTGTCACCTCATTTTTTCACATCACAGTCACTGGTGAGGGTAAGCCTTGAACAGTTTAACTTACAGTGTTACAGGCTGTTCAGAGACGTTGACCAGTGCTTTGATCTTCAGATCTTTCTGAACTTGTTTGTCACTAGCCTGCTCGAAATTGCCCATATATAGCTTTGCAGGCAGTATTTCTACAGGGTATGGCTGGAAGGTGTCTAGTTCCTGCCAGAAAGAAACCACACGCTCAGGTTAGAGAGTGTCTTTGCTCCCATTAGCTCAAGAAGTTCTTAAACAGAAGTCATGTGAAGAGTTGAACAGGCACTTAGTCAGCAGCCCATGACATATTTTAGTCTAATGATTTATTCAATCACCTGGATTTGCTGTATATTGAAGTCTTTGCTAGTTTTACTAAGAATAATTAACAGCCTCACTGTTGTGGCACTACTTGAAGGAAATCCCAACTAAACAGGAGGTGGAATTCATTCTTTCCATTGTCTGGAGGGGCTGCAGCATGACAGACTCATTTGATGTTCTCTCTGCTTACTGTTTGCAAGGCTAAATGAAATCATCTGCCACCTGCAGAGCTGCAGGTGCCCTGGAGTGGCCCAGCACAAATCTGCAGCTGCATCCGGTGTCGGCAGCGTGGAGGCTGAGAAGGAAAACACACAAACCTCGACATCCCTAAGGGATACGTGGATACCTGGATACTGCTCCAGGAGCACAAAGGAGCAGTCTAACAATTTAAAGCTTAAACTGAGAGGCAAGGAGGTGCCTGTGTCCAGCTGAGTCTGAGGGGGAAGCTCAGCAGTGAATTTCCCTTCACAGAGCAGCACAAAGGGAATCGATTTTCTCTCCTGTGCTGTAGCATCCACAGGTTAGCACCGTGTCAAGGGCTGTTTCCTGGGAACCAGAAGGGAACAATGGGAACAAAATACACCTTGGAATGAAATGCTCTGTTGTCCAGCAACTTCTTAACATGCCCTGCCTGTCCTAAATACGCAATAAAGCATAATTGTTTCTCATAAACTAAACAGATTGATGTTTATAGGTGAAACCAGCAATCAGGACAGCAGTGTTTGAGTGGATGGCTGTTTTCTTCCTGGGCCTATTGAAACCAGGCACTAGCACTTGCTTTGTGACCCTTCCCCATGAAAAGACATGGATCACAGTGTTTGGTAGGAACTGTAGTCCTGTTTGAAAACATTTGCTGTGTACTATGCCAGATAACTACGTGTGAGAGAGCTGCCTGCTTCTTGTCATCAGTTACTACTGTTTGTTCAGTTATCTGTACTCTCCATAGGCCAGTTTCGGGGTTATCAGGGGAACATTCCCAGCTTGTTTCCATGAACTTCCTTTCATGCAATAGAAAAGGAAAAAGTGTGGCTGTAAAAGAATCAGTGGTGAGACTCAGAGCAAGCACAGTAACTCAAATTACATTTAATTCCCCTGTCTAAAATTACTGTGATAACAGGTTTGCAACACCATCTAACCTGAATTCACCAGCCATCATCAGTTGAATATGAACGTCTTCTACCTGGAAATTAGTCTCATCTCACCTGAGGCATCCACAGTGTCTTCTCACTCTTCAGGAAATGGTAACAAGCTGAAAAATACTTGTACCCTCCCTTCAGGAGGAGCACGGGGTGGCGGGTGAACTGCTCCAAGTTTCTGGCATGGAGGAGGGCAGTTCCTTCCCCAGCATCTAAAGAGACCAAAGAGCTGTTTGCCAGGGCAGGTTCAGTGTCTCCATCTGCCTCCCTGACATCCACAGCAAATCCCTTTTCATTGCATCTAATGCTCTGGACAAAACTTGGTTAAAAGCTTGACTTATTCTTGTTGCTGCAGGTCAGTTACAGAGGGTGCTGCTTTTCCCCTGTCATCCTGATCTTTTATTCCTTTCCTGGTTTCTCTTCTAGCACCAGATTTCTTTCCCTCTCCCCGTTTTTCTATGGGAAATAAACTTCCATAATAAGGAAGTTTTATTAATTTAAATTTAATAATCTTATTTTTATGGAGCCCCTTGTCTTTAATCTGCTTTAGGCAAACAGGGAAAAAAGGAAGTGTCTTAAATAAAATTTTCACAAATGTTTTAAACACTCTCCTCAATGTCAATGAAGTAGATTATGTGAGATGGCTGTTCCTCCTCCTCCTCCTCTCAAGGAATCTATCCTGTTTCCCTCTAGCTATGTCTGCTTTAGAAATAGACCAGCACAATAGAAATCCAGTTCTGATTCTTCACACCTTCCCTTTACTGCCTCACCACTGAGCATTTAGCAACCTGCTTGCTTTATCCATTCCCCTTACACCTCCACTTTTTTGTCTTTAGAAAGTGATGTAAATCTTTGCTAAAACTCCTGTAGCCTTTGTAAAGCTCAAACAAACAGAAGTGGTTCACTCACAGCAGAACTCCTTGCCAAAGGATGTGTGAAAGCCAAACACTTCCATGGTTCAAGGAAGACTGAACAAAGAAACCATGGAAAAGTTTCCAGCACTTCACATTTCTTGATGAACTCCATCAAATCACCACCCCCATTAAAGGCAAATCTTTTTAAATATCATGAAGTGAAAGCCTTCTGTGACCCTCAAAGAAGGAAGTACTCACTCTGGGAACATGTGGAACCTGAGCTGCTGATTTCAGTCTCTGGAGCAGCGCTGCCCCCTGAAAGGCAATTGTTGGACAAGCCAAATCTCAGGGAAATGTGCCAAAAAAATGAACCCATTCCTCACATGCAAAAAGGAGCTTCAGAGGATCATCCACAGATGGGAAACCAGGGCTGCCAGGATGCTTTGAAATAAAACCTGGATTTTTGAAGCCTGAGAATATACACAACACAGTGAAAAACCAGGGGCAGAGCACAGTTTTTTCACATGAAACTGGGAACATTTACATCTCTTCCAACAAGCACATAAAATTTTATGAGGAATGGGAAGAATCTCTACCCAGCAGAGAGGTCTGGACTGACATGGGTCACACATACCTGTTTCTCTCTCCTCTTCCTGATAGTCAGTGCAGCCCAAAATGCCAGTGTCATGGTCATACACCACACAGAATCTGACATAGCCCAGCTCCTCGGGATTTGGGATCAGATACTCCCCTGCAGGACTCTACCAAAATCACAGAGGAATTCCATCAGGAGCACAGCTCCACTCTTCTCTAGTGGCATCAACGCTCCTGACATCTTGCAAGTTACAGCTCTCTAGCTAGGTGTTGGGTTTGGACGTGTGGGTGGACAGGACACACTGACAGCCCCGGTTAGAAGTCAGGAATGATGCAAATCACGCTGATTGCTCCACCAGCAGCAGCGGTGCAGATGCCAGCGCTGTCCTTGTGAGGCAAGGCTGCACTGAGTTCTTGTGCAATGTTTTTCCTGATATTCAGCTCCGATGTGCCAATCCTTCGGGCTGCTGGAGCCACCACCTTTGCTTTGTGACAGAATACATCCCCCCAGTGGCAGCCGCGGGGCACGGCTGAGGCAGGGGCAGGGGCTGGGACATTTCCCGTGGCTTTCAAACTAGTTTTGGCTTCCTACTAATTGCTAAATCCAAGGATGGTTCACACAAACAGCAATTCCCTCACCAGTTCAATCCTTTGGGCTGTAATAATGTGGCTGGCATCGAATTCACGTTGAGAACGGGCATCTGAAAAAAAACCAAAAACAACCAAGACAAAGCAATTGGCTTTTAAAGGTGGAATCCTCTTTGTATTTTGCCAGTGGGAATTCAGGCACTGGCATTACTCAGAGATTTAGAGATGTGGTACTTGGGGATATGATTTAGGGGCGGTTATAAGGTTGCAGGGTCGGCTGTTGGACTGGATGAACTTGAAGGTCTTTTCTAACCATGATGATTCTGTGATTTGTTTTTCAGAAAACAAATGTTGAGGTCTTCTGGTGTGGGCATAATAAACTCCAGGGTCGATGTGAGTCTGTGTGTAACAGCAAGTGATAACCAGCAGTGTTAGTCCTGACCCAGGTGTGCTCCTGCAGCATTCCCCAGCATCAATTCTGTGCTCTGACCTGCCCAGCAGCTCTGCCTCTGCTGCTCCAGAGCTGGGGAGGGGGCACTGGAAAGACCCCAACCCACTCCCCAACTGGCTAACTCGCTCACCAAAACATTCAATGACACTGCAATATCAGGCACCCTTCTGGGAGTATTGACACTATGCAAAATGGAAGTGGTTATCAGGAATCTTTGTGTAATGGTTGAGAAATCTAGTCCAGTTCTAACACCTCTGGGAGCAGCAGGGGAGAGTATGTATCCATGGGACTGATAAGAGCAGGGAGAGCTGAGAATGAGGAAAGGCAAGGCAGCACCAAGTCAGGGCACTGAAATGGGATGGGAGGAAGGTGCCAGGCCCCAGAAATGACAAGAAATGATGGGTGTGTTTTCCTCACGAGCCCCATTGGCTCAGGATATCTGCCCGGGCTGAGCACAGAGCCTGGCTGCAGGCAGGGGCAGGGACTGCAGGCAGGGACAAGCAGGGGCAGAAGAAACAGGCGGGAGAGCAGCAGACAAAGCAAAGATTGGTAGAGTCAGGGAGGGGCAGGCACAGGCAGGGACAGGGACAGGCCTGTGCCGCGGCCTCACCCAGCAGGCACAGGTAGTTGGGCTCCGTCAGCCGCGATCTCCACCGGTACTGGTTGATGATATTGTAGAGGTGTCTGGGCTCGCAGAACATCACCCCCGCCATGGCCCATCCGCCCGGCTGTCGCCGACTATCGCGACACCACGCACGCCCCCCCCT